GATCATGCAAAGTCAAGTCCTTTTATAGAAAACTGTCTTATTTGTCGCGATATATTCACGAAACTTGGCATGAACTATTTTCCAAGGTAAATGTACAGATTGGATCAATATTTCTCAAACTGCCATACAAATTGACCGATCAAACTCAACTTTATCATTTGTGAAAAGTATTCGGTTGCAACGAAGCTAACATTTTTGCCTTTTTTGATTCCAATCGATCCAATTCCATCCGTTGTCACAAATAGGAGCAGATTGGTGTTTGAGCTACATATATACGGTAAACTTGAATACGCTGTGATGAGTTAAATATGTTATTCACGGTACCTATTTGAATAAGAGACTAAATGAGGGCACCTTGTATACATAATTGCATACCATTTGCTAATTGRCTAAATAAAGGCGATATTTGGAGAACCGTAGTGAGTTTTGCTCAAATATAAGGACTTGAAGCAAGAGAAGRCTACGTACAACATTTATTTTAATGAAACAAATAGAAAAATGTATGGTGTTGAAAATTTACAGGGGGTAATTTTAGAATTAAAAAAAAATTTTTTTTATTTAATTTTTATTTATTTATTTTTTTACAAATTTTTATTCGTTTTTTTTGTTTTTAATCGCTTAAACAATTATGTCCACTATCTTGAGATTGCTAAATTTAATTATATATGTATTAATCGTTATAACTTAAAAACAAAGAATTTCAGTTTCAAAATTTATTGTTATAACAGTTCTTAGCTTTTCTTCTCCGCGACTGCCATGACGTGCTTTCATATTGTATTTCCTTATTCCAAATATCCCGCTTTTGTTTTATGTTATATTCATCACTTTTATCGTAATCAATGGCTGGAAGCCTACTTCATTCGTCTTCAGCAACTTGATAAATGGTTTTCAAACTTGCGATGCTAATGGAATTGACTCGCGCAATGACAATTAAATGAACGCCAAATTGTAAATATATGTACATACACCGATACATTTTTTTTAAATTATTTGTTACAAGAAATGGTAAACATATTTTAATTTAAAATGTTAAAATACAATAGTTTTCAAGAGAATTTTACATTTGTATATAAAATTTAAAGCATTTTTGCGCATTTTAACACATTATTTCAAGGAAAACATTAGCAGTACTTCAAATAGTTCATCAGATGATCACGTATAGAGAGTAYTGCGTATTACTTTGTTGTTTGTTTTGTTTTTCCTAGAGCTCATTCCGCTCGGTTCTTGAAAATCACACTCACTTAACAAAGTCGTCAATCAACAGTCACACCCCTTTTTCATTGCATCGATCTGTGCACTCAAACATTCACCCACAATATGTTGTATGGCTGCATGTGTGTATGAGTAAATGCTCACAGCCACACGTACATACATACATACCTGTACCTTATATGTATTGTTCAAATATAAGTAACAACAATAACTGTGGAGGTCAATGTACATCAGTCACCACATTTTCGCTCTTCAGTTGATCATTATCATCACATTATTCTACTTTCATGCGAATTTGCCAAAAACACCATACGAATTTGTGAATAAAAATGCAAATTTCTTGATAATGATACACTTTTTGTTGTAGTATATTTGTACACATTTGTTGTTMACTGAAAATGTGCATACGTACAAGCAAACATTTATATCTAAATTGTATTTGTACTTTTCTCTTTCTCTCTCTCTCTCTCTTCCCATTTTGTTCCATTTGTGCTCACCCATACTGCGATGTGTTGGGAACTGTTGGTGTTTTTCAGTGACTTACCGACGCAACAGCAGCCACGACGGCGGCGACTGCACGGTCGACGGCAACCTCTAACTACTTTGTTACGTATACGTCGTGTATGTTAGTTGCGCATCATCGCAGCAGCAGAGGCCTTGCAGCGCGTTGAGTAACGAACGACAAAGGCAAAGTGCGTTGTGCGTTGTGCGAGCGTTAATATAAATAAACACATAATTAAAAGCTGAATTAAAACTGAAATAAAACCGAAATAAAAACCGTGCTGGAGCATAGGTTAAAACGCCGTAAACCGTTAGTGCCGCCAGCGTTAAGACAAGTTCAGAGCCGCTATTAAAAATTAAATAAAATGATWTTTAAGTGTTTCGCGAWRTATGGAATGATGCTTGTTAGTGTTATGTGCAGTGTCTGGACGCAAATGCTAGACATGTTAATTAATATAATATACTGCTGATATGTTGATTCAAATTATATAAAATAAGTAATATAATTTTTACAATATTGATGATAAAATAAATACAAATATTTTTTGAATTGAAGTTAAATTGGTTAAGAACAATGTATAATTTAAAAATAATAATAAATTAGATAAAACAATAATAACAATAACCAATAATAAATTATTAATATTT